TTATTATGATAATGCAAGTTGTCGATCATATAATAGATTATTTTGACATGCAGATCATCGGACATGTCATCTGACTGATATACAGTAAAAAGTCAAAGGAAAAGTCATATGATAAAAGAGAAATAATCATTTTATTAAGAAAAAGAATAATACTCAGATAAATTACGGACTGAAAAAGAAGATTATACAAAACAAATAAATCACGAAGAAAATGATTTGAATAAATTAGTTACCGAAAGAAAAGGATAATTAATTAACCAAATGAAGGGTCAAGGAAAAAGGATAATAAATCAACTGGACAGAGATCTTATAATAAGACTTGGAAAATATTTGAAAAATAACAATTGAAGAAGTTACACAAGGATGCAAGAAGGTTACATAAAAGGCACACTTGTTGGGAATAACAAATTGGATCACATAAAAGCTTGTATAACATAAAGGTTACACATGACATCATAAACGAAATAGAAATCAGAAGAAGAACGAAAGTTAGTAGTGATACAAAGTACTGAAGAAAGACAGAAGTACGAAAAAGTAAGAAGGAAAAATTATTATTAATACATTGTAAGGAAAACAAATGAGAATTAATATAACGAAAGTAAGAATAATATAATGGAAGTAAAGTAATATAACGGAAGTATAAATTAATACAGCGGAATGAAATTAAATAGTAAACAGTAAACAATAAATAGTAAATACGGAATTTAGTAATGAACAACAGAAAATTAGTAATAATAGTAATAGTAGAAAACATATATAGAAAATTATGTAGTAAAAATCATATAACGAATATTACGAAGTGAATTTTATTATATAAAGGCTTAGGAATTCCTCAAGGAATCAAGTCATTAAATTTCTCAAGAATAAAAAAAAAATTAATTTAATAAATAAACTTTTAACACAAATAAAAATAAATACTTTTGTTTGAAATAATTAATTGTTGAACAATAAATTATGAAAATAAATAAAGTTATCTCACTTGTATATAAACTTAAATTTTAGAAAAATGTTAATGAAGTAATGTCTAAATAAAACTTCGAAGGAATAATAAAATATGACAGAAGTTAAAGAATATTTAAATGTAAAGAAATAAAGGAAAATAAATAAAAATATTAAAGGAGAAATTAAAAAATAATAAGGAGAAATAAAAATATTTGTAAAACACCTTCGTAAATAATATTCAGAAGATATTCAGAAGATATACTCAGAAGACATTCAGAACAAACCCTTCGAAAGACACATTCGTAAAAGATATTTGGAAGTAACATTCAGAAATAATATTCAGAAGATATAATCGGAAGAGATAAATAAATATAATATTAAGAATAATAAGAATTAAGAGAAGAAGTACAATAATTAAAGAAAGATAAAGAATAACTTAACTGAAGATTAGATGACAATAATATTGAAAAGAAATTATTAAAGGAATTTATCGCTCAACGTGAAGGAAAAGATTCTCAGCAATTAAAAATTAATTTGTAAAACAAACCCTCTTGATGATGAGTAGCAGAAACGATCAAGAAGATACAAGTTATGTTGAAGCTTATTGAACTCAAAAATGCTATACATTTGTAAAACAAGGGTTATGGTAACTACAACGAAATGGAGCAATTAGTCTGAAGATTATTAATGCTGAATTGATCACTAGGCATCTTAAAGAATGATTTATTGTAAACCTAGGTATTCATATTATGATCTTAGACATGATATTGTAGGACTAGATTACCCTAATGATGAGTTTATAAACAGATTGATAATACACAGTTACAATGATAGACTAGTGAGGAAAAAGGGTAATTCTCATCAATTTTGTTGAAAATGGCTTGAAAGGCATAGGAAGATATATAAAAGCTCTCTAAATCGTATATAATCAAGAGCTGATGTAAGAGTGTCTTTCTAATTATACTATTCCTATTGTTGCAGATTAGCTTGAACAGTTCTACACTTGTAAGGCTATTGCATAATGTATTCTCATCAACAACGAAACTGTTTCTCATTTCATTGTATTCTTTTTACCTATAATAGGTCCCCTCAATGTATCACTAAATAGTTGTGAGCTCATTTTTCTACAGAACTCTTTTTTTCAATAACATCTACAAAAGCATATTTGGTATGAACAAGGAACTTGATAAAAAACTGTGATCTTGAAGAATCAACTTAATTCTTTATATTGTATATATGGCGTGGTTTGATATATCAGAGGTTGTATATTTGAAAATTGGGATACAAGCAAAAATATTGAGTTTTTATATTTAACAGATTTACTTAGTAATTTAGTTCCCTTAGTCCTTGATATTTACGCGATACACTATTAACGTGGTGATTGGCCTGCTTATGAAGAAGCTTGTATGTATTGCTAGAATGAACTGTTTCTTCAGTATTCCATTAATGTTTTCTCTGATGTTTTTTATTGGATGGAGACTAATCATTCAATTTTTAATATGATTACTAATAATCTTGATTCTCTAAGTGATTGTTTTATCAAACTTATTCATAGTATTATATAATAATGTACTGCTAAGTTTTCTACAGCTAAACAACTGCAGAAAGAAGCATATTTCATTTTTCAGCAGCGGGACAAAAATGAATTTAGGTAATATTTTGTAAATATCATTAAATATCCATATATACTGAAACAATTGAATACTCTTTCCCAGAAATGTGTTATACAACTTTTGAATATATTTATGAAAATTTACCAAGCACATCATATACATCCTTCAGTTATTAAATCATCATCCAATGGTATTAATACATATAAATTGCCTTCTTTAAGTTATGAAGTGATTGATTGTTACCTTCTGCAGGATTTTGTTACTTCTAGAAAACCAAATACCACGATTCTTTATGATTATTTGTATTGTGAATATAATGACTATTTGATTGATAGTATCATTCTCATATGTAGGCATAGTTATCATAACCATTATTTACAAAGATGCTAATTTAAATATTTGATATGTTTAAGGTATCTTCAAGATGAGATCAAGAAAAATATCGATACTCTTATAATCAGTTTTATGAAGAAATCAGGTGAATAAGAATCCGTTGAAGAAGATACTAGAAAAGATGCAGTTGAAGGAGATTTGAATGATGTAGATGAAATGAGGAATGATATTATAAAAGTTGAAAATTTGTTAAAACATGCAAAATAATTATTTATAAAATTGTAAAATTTTTATATATTTATACATTTTAAAAATACATTTTATTATTTTATTAAATTATTATGATCATATTTCAATTAGTTAATTAAATCTTGCATAATAAATATCTTTTAAATATTTGATTTCTTGATTAATTAATAGTTCTAATATGATGGGCTTTGAAATCACGTGATTTAGTTACGATTTTGATTGGCTGATCAATGCATCGTCTCCTTACTAGATTTGTCACATGCCAATTCTACAAGGGGAGAATTTTTTGTGATGTCACGTGGGATGAATAAAGTTAGCTCTATTAACGTTACATTTTTTCAGTATGAACATAATTGGCTGATGACCTGAAAAAAACGCGTTTTATAAAAAAAGGTGCAATTGCAATTATCATTGTAAAATTCATTCATTTTTGGAAAAATATCCTCTTAATGGCGGATTCATCAATTCTGCCAGAAAATAACGTTCTTATTCCACTTTTTTCTTCACCAGAACAAGATAAGTTACATAATAATTCTTCTATTCATTTGCAAATAATTGATAGTGAGCATCAAGAAATTAAACAAGCCGCTGTTAAAGCTTTACATCAAAATTCTATATTAACTATGCAAGTGATTGCAAGCGGTGAGGTAAATAGACAAAAGACCCAAGAATTTTTTTAAAATTGCAATTGAAGTAGAATATATATCATATGAGTAATATTTTGTATAATTCAATAGTCACCTGCTAGAACTAAGTTACGGATGTTACGTTATATAACTTGTTTACCACAACCTTCATATGAATGAATCACCGGTATGCAACTTATTTTACATTACCACTCCACTTATTTTATTAATTAATAATCTATTTTATTTCTTTAATTAGAATCAAATTTATTTGATTAAATCAATTACTTATAATTTATATAAATAATAAATAAACGCGTAATCTAGTGTTTCAGTAATATGTTTTCAATGTTTACTGAAATGTCGTGTGCAAATAAAAAAATTTTTTTTTTTCGAATTGATTTGTCCAAAAAAAAAAATAGAATAATTTTTTTTTTGAAGTATTGAAGTTGTAAAACTTCTAATACGCGTCATTATTTTTCATTAACAAATCACGTGATAATAATTGTCTATAAATTGGGCAGATCTCGTTTTCGATAACAATTATCCATTCGATTATGACTAGCCTTTATGGTAATTCAAGTCCTACAAGCTCGAAAAGCTCAACTCAATTTGCTGATGTGGAAATTGAACGCATCTCGCGTTCGCTTACTCGTTTGATTAAAAATATTTTACGCGAAAACATTAACACGGTCAGTAAAGCAAATGGTAAAGGAACCCTTACTTCTACTGAAGTAGGAAAAAATACCGAACTGACAACACTTCAGCAACAAACTTTTGACTATTGCATGAGGATATTGGGCAGGTAAATTGCCCTTGACCTTCTTGCAATGCAAATACGAACTATCCAGTCTTGCTTTTCTCTACATTACCTTAAAAAAAGCAAGATAAGTATCAACAAAGGTATCTGATATTAACTTTGATTTCTCTCAAAATGTCCTAAAGTCGAATGACTCCTACAGTAGTGAGCGATGAATTACATGTATCTGACCTCATCAAAAAAAAATGTACGTATTTTATCAAATTTATTCCTTAATTCTACTTTATACCATTAACTCTACATTATAAATCAGTGGCTCGCGAACATAAATCATCATCAAAGGCTTTACGTTTCGCAAATTTATTCTCTAAATTGCAATCTCAAGTAAGTCATATCTTTATTTTTGTTGTTTTCCTTTTGTTATTATGTTTTATGAATTAATGAACTTGTTTGTTAGACAACTGTAACGAGAAAATGGGCTATATTATACTTTTTATTATCACTCAGTGATCAATCTAATATTAGTGAAATGGGAAAAATCGTTAACACATCAGTAAGTTTTATGATATGACATAGTTTAAATTTATATTATTTATATTTATTTATTGTTTCTTGTTTAGTCTCTTGAACAAGCATTCTCATATCGCGGATTACAAAATTTATCCAATCCTGAAAGAAATAAACAATCGTCTGAGGAAACATCAAAACGATTTATTCCGAATATTCCTTCAAAGACTACTACTATTAAAGTTTCAAAAGAAGAAATATTGCCTTCAAGATCCGTTCTGAAGAAGCAATTGGCAGAACTTGAGAATTGTATGTTATCATTCAATATCTTTGTTGTAATTGTACGTCATCATGGAACTGAGTTTTAAATTTATTTTTGATTTTGATTTTAATATTCCAAGCTAATGTAGAGGTGTCTGAGGCATTGTTGTTACGAGACATCGTATTTATTTTCCAAGGAATTAACGGACAATTTATTAAATATAATGCAGATAGTTCATCATATATAATCGATCCAAAAGTATGAACAAATAGTTATTGATAAATATATTTTTTTTAAAAAAAAATAGTTTGAAATGAATTAATTTTCCAACCTTTTTTCAACAAATAGCTAGATATAAATCGATCGACACGCGACTTATTACATAGACTTACAGAATTTGGATGGCTTTATAAACGTGTCAATGAGTTTGTGACTTTAAATGTAAATGACCCTTCTATTGGACTTGTTGGTCAGGTAATATTCTATAATATTAGAAATTTATTTGAAGTATAAAATCCTTAGTTTGAATATCTTACGAAATCTATCAGGCCTTCTGTTCTGCCTTACAACGTGAATTGACTGAATATTATAGATCCATTGCTTTTTTGGAAGCTCAAGTTACCAAACAAGTTGAAGGCAAACAAGTTTCTTCACAAGGGCTTACTTTAAAACGGCTACTGGTATGGACGCAAGATTCGCTTTTGAAATTACGAATCATGTCAGTTCTTGTTGATTGTTGCAAAAAACAAAGAGGCGGAGCATTAGTGTCGACAATTTATCATTACACGAATCATGGAGACCCTTTCATTCAACAATTTATTAACAATACACTTGAAGAGGTATTAGAATGGTTTCACATCTCTTATTCTTTGAAAAAAAAAATCACCACATTTATTTTTTTTTAATGATAATGTTACAGGTGTCGCGTCCATTCTTTGAAATGCTGCAACATTGGATATATGAGGGTGAATTGGAGGATCCCTTTCAAGAGTTTTTTGTTGCTTGTGATCCTGATGTTTTAGAGGAGCAATTGTGGCAATTAAAATATTTGAATCGTGCAAAAATGCAACCAACATTTATCAGTACTTTACTTGCAAAAAAAGTAAGGTTTTGATGATCTTTTTTTTGGAGCATTTAAAATGAATTATCGTAACCTGTTTTTTTTTTTATTAGATATTTTCTATAGGAAAGTCGCTTAACTTTATTCGTTATAGCTGTCACGACAGTGATTGGGTAGTTACCAATGGGAAAGCAACTGGTGCTGATAAATGTAATTATTCTAATTTTCAAAGATTGTATGTGCAGCGTTAGAAATTTATATAATTATTTTACGGAATATAGTGTTGAAATACGGCGACATTATAGCGCTTGAAAGCTCGATTGACGCCACATATACTGCTACAAGTCAAAGACTGTTGAATATTCTTTTCACTAAATTTAAACTAAAAGAACATTTAACTGCTTTGAAAAGATATTTATTACTTGGTCAAGGTGATTTTATACAACATTTAATGGCTCAACTAGGGTAAGGTTTAATTTGCAACGCATCCTTGCAAAGTCATTTATTTATTAATTTATTTTTTTTAATATCAGATCTGGCCTTTCAAAACCTGCGAATACTCTTTATCGCCATAATCTCACTGGCACATTGGAAGCTGCTATTCGTGCATCTAACGCTCAATATGATGATCCGGATATTCTTCGAAGGTTGGATGTTAGGCTTCTTGAGGTTCGTCAAAACGTTATTTACGACAATTTCATTTATGCAAGAAAATTTTATAAAGCTTTTTAGAATAAAATTTTTTAAATCAGGTTTCCCCTGGTGATATCGGTTGGGATGTTTTTAGTTTAGATTATCATGTAGATTCGCCTATAAATACAATTTTCACACCAAAAGCAATGCAACAATATCTTCAATTGTTTAATTTTCTGTGGCGTTTAAAACGAGTTGAGCATGATTTATCAACAGCCTGGCGTCGTAATATGACTAGTGCCAGAAGTTTATATCAAATTAAAAGTATGAAATTTTATATATCCTTAATAATACCAAAATATCATCTTATTAAATTTTTTTTTCTTTACAGAGTTTAAAAAAGAAATAATTACTAGTAGATTAGTCTGTAGTGAGATGATACATTTTGTATATCAGTTACAATATTATATTTTATTTGAGGTACTTAATGAATTCTCATTATGTAATGACATGATATTATTATAATTGTATTAATTTAAATAAATTTATAGGTGATCGAATGTTCCTGGGATGAACTTGTGACTGACATTAATAAAAAATCCGGGGATTTGGATTCTCTTATCGAGGCTCATAATAAATACTTGACAAATGTTACAACAAAAAGTTTTCTAGGCACATCAAACAATCAGGTAAACTTTATACTTTTATACTTTTTTTATAACACATCTTTTTGCTAATTTTTTTAAAAAAAAAAAATTGTAAAGAACTATTTATCAAGGCTCTTGAAGATTATAGGATATATTTTACAGTACAAGAATGTATTGGTAATATATATTCATGAACTATTTCTTGTCATTTTATTATTGGATTTATTTTAAACTAATCCAAATTTGATAATAGGATGAACTTCATAATTTCGCTTTGAGAGATTCTAGAGATTCTGATATGTCAATTCCCGAGAAAATTCGGGGATATTCCGCTAGTATCTTAAATAAGTCCTCAAATATAAACACAAGAGAAAACTTCAAGCCGATCCAGGAACGTTTAGAAGAAGTTACTGGATTGTTTAAAGTAAATACAATATCAACTTTATTCTTGAATAATTAATTTCAACCAGTTTTTCACTATTAATTTTTTTTCATTAGGGAGAATTGGTAAATTTACTGACAACATTATCGCGTCATCACGATACTGATTTGAGATTTCTTAGTGTTCGACTTGATTTCAATGAATTTTATCAAGAAATCAAAAAGTAGTTTTACTTTCTTAATAAAATGACAAGCCATCCCTTTCCATCTTTTCTCTATACTTAAAATCTTTATAACAATTATGACATAAATGATGTACCAAGTGTTTTTGACCACAACTATGACAATCGACTATGTTTGTTTTATCTTTCAATCCTTTATTGGCAGAACGCATTCTCTTTTTTGAATGGGAAGTTTTTTTCTTTGGAACAGCCCATAAAAAAGGTCCTAATATTTGAGCCAAGTCAAACATAGTACCGGCTTTTCTTTGAGAATCTTTCCAAAATGTTTGCATATAGGTTGAAAGTGGTGTGGAAATTGTAGAACTTAAAGCATCATTATAAATGCTAAAGTATCGACTATTTTGACGACGAAAGATTGCACTTGATAGAATGGCTGCCATTTCTTTAGTCCCTAAAAAATAAGAAAAGGTATTTTTTTTTTTTTATTGAAATACGTTTTGATTACCCACTAAGCCACCCATCAGTGATTATCAAATAAATTAATGGGAAAATTTTAATTTAGGCCTGTTCAATTTCGAATTATTTAAGAAAAAATATATTAATAATGTTAAAATATATTTTAAATTTACGATTGAAAAAATACACTGTAGAGCAAATTAACGAAAATAATTTTTTTTATTACGAGTAATATTTGTGTTCACAATATTCACAAGGAATATACGTGATTTAGTTTAAATTTGACTATGTTATATGGATACAAAATTATCCTTATTTATTTTATTGATAAGCATTCTAGACATTCATTTTTTTAAATTTCTTGAATAATTCATATATAAATTATACTATCAACAATTACTAGAATGATATCGTTCAATACCAAAATCAATTATCGAAACAGATTTTTATTTTAATATAGTGCCAAGTTTTTTTTTTTTTTAATAAAAAAATAAAATAAATAACCCTTTTAAATCCTTTTACAGGATTTTGCTTGATTCCTTCATAAATATTTACCTTATGACGAATCATCAATATAATGTATTTACTTCATAAAAAAATGAAGGGTCAAATAATATGACAAGATATTCTATTGTTCTTAATATATACTTTACTTATAGACCTAAATGTATAGAAATGATGACAGCTCCTCTTCAAACTATATGACATCAATTCGATAATGATTGGAATATTGGCCATAAAAGGATAGTCCTTATTGAGGTAGATAATCAATTATGAAATCCATGAAAAAAACTTTTTAATTATGAACTTCAATTATATGCGAAGATTAGCATTTTCAACATTTTCGAGAAAACTATATTATAAAAGACCAATAAATCATTTATATTCATACTCAAACATATCTTTAAAACCAAATATAAGGCAAGTTTATTTTTCAACACAAATATCATCGAACAATAAAGTTATTGAAGTAGAAATAGAAAAAGAGGAAGTTGAAGAAATAGATAAATCATTATATCCTGAATTATTTCCAGAAGCAAAATCATATGATTTATCAGGTGAAGAAGAAAAAGAACATAATGATGCGAATGATGCGTGGTTTGTTGACCCAGCTTATGAAAATCCACAAGAAGAAAGTGGAGATTTCGTACCGTTATGGCAAAGAAAAGCAACTTCTCTTTCAGATGAAACTTCTAATGTAAAAAAGTATAAATTAATGGAAGGTGATGAACCTCAACGAACGAAATTTTTGGATATTGTAAGATTTTTAGAGGAAGAAGGAATTGAAAATATAACAGCGATTAATGTGAAGCAAAAATGTGATTTTACTGATTGGATGGTTATAGGTGAAGGAAAAACCACACGACATTTAGGCGGGGCGGTGGATGGACTTTATAAAATGGCAAGTATCAAATAAAAATTATTTTGAAGGGATTATCGCCAAAAAGGGAAATCATATTTAAGCAAGGTTTTCTTTTTTTTTTTAGTTAAAAGATGAAATACATATACAAAATTCCGATCCAACTAATTCTTCATCACAAGGTTATCCAGTAGTCGAAGGGCGTGATTCAGAAGATTGGATGTTAATAGATACTGGATCAATTTTCGTGCATCTTTTTACACCCGAGGCAAGAAAATATCGTAATCTAGAAGGTTTATGGGAGAGGACACCACCACGTTTTACATCAGAAGAAGGTTTAAAGAATATTACTAATGAAATGGTTAAAGAGTTCGACGAATTCAATCCTAAATTTGCTAGAACTCCTCCTTTACCTCCTGAATTCTAACAAAATATTATTAAAGTTTTCACGTGCATGTGATGGTGTATTAATAAAATATCACATACGTTACACGAAGCTTAACCACAGTCTCTTTTATTAGACAAAAGAAATTTTAACATCCAAGATAAAGACAATTTTAAAACAAAAAAAAATTGCATTTTAACACGTTGAATAATCTCATTATTATACAAATTAATTCTCAATCAAAATGTTATTCCCAGTTTGTATGGTTATTTTATTCATCTCCAATCACAATGCAAGTGGTTTCCTCATTAACCTTTTCTTTATTAATCGATTTTTTTTCGTACAAACAAATCCCTCGTTTTTAATTTTCCTTGTACATAAAAAATCACACGATGTTTTTTTTTAATATACCTTACTTAATAATAATTAAAGTTTGATATTACTACAATTGCTGTAAATGGCTGAATTGTGTTTTCGTTGGATACAATATTGATTATTAATTTCGGTTCATTTGGGGTATTTAATATAATAACCTTTTTTCTAAAGATCCGATCAACGATTTTTTTTTCCCTCCCAACTTCGGATAATTAATTTTATTAGTCATTAATTAATAGAAGTTTATTTAATTCATAGAACGTATCAATCCATCACACAAAGAACTATTTTACTTCTAATGATATAAAAAGTGCTAAGCCATGCGCATAGCATAGTCTTACGTCTCACGATTCAAAGAAGTAATTATTATTAATCAAAGTTAATTAACGTGACTTCATTCTTGAAAAGGAAATTAGAAAGTAATTCGGTACAATTTTATTGTTAAAAAAGAAATTTAGATCAATATAAAAATTGTTTGATTATTCCCCCGTTAAAAATTATTTCAATTTCCTTCTTTTTGAACTATTGACGCGCCTGTGTTTTTTTAAAAAAATTTTTGTTTCCTTTTTTCTTTTTTTTTTTTTTTTTTTAGTAACTTTGAGTTCATAATGTCAAGAGTTGAAGAAATAAATATTATGAGAGGCAATAACTTTACAACTGAAGTTTCAACTCCACCGCCTCCACCGCTTGATAAAGTAAGAAAACGCGTCCTTTATAATGTCAGTTATTGTCGCGTCTTGTGACTACATTGATATGGAAAAAAAACCTTTTATCCGGTCAAGTAACGTCAAAGTTGATATTGTTTATATGAGGTTTGACACGTTCTTTGCTTTCTTTTTTTATTATTATTATAGGATTCTCCGTCTTTTATGAGTAATGACTCCTCTGTAAATACACCTTCTGATGAACAAATCATCACCGAGTCCATGAAAGAAGAAGAAGGAAAGCTTCAGACTGAAACCGAGAAAGAAAATTTGAAAGTGCTTAAAGAAAAGGTATATATGTTTGAACAATTCCAAGTTTTAAAAAAAGACGCGTCTTGTCTTGCTAAGCCACATGATCAAAAAAAAAAAATCTTTTTTTCCTTGAAATAGTTTAGTTAAGGTTTATCATTTAAGAATTTAAGATAATTTTATATACATTTTTTGTAATTTGATATAAATGGTATAAATTGATATAAATAGTGGTTGAATAGATTAAATGGATAAATGCATGCATTAATCATTACTTAAAGATATTCTTTCATTGATGACAAAGATTTGATTTAAAAATTACCATCATACTATTATAATGGGCAATCAATCTTGAGGGGAAAAGAAAAAAGAAAAAATTTCTTTCATCGACTAATCAAAATTCGCATATCTAGGCTGTAGCTGATTATGATGCACTTGTGGATAAACAACGCGTGCAACGACTCAAGTTCCTTTTGGAGAAATCATCCCTTTATGCTCAATTTCTCGCCAATAAAATGGAACGACAACAACAAGAACAACGTGAACGTGCTCAAGCCGAAGAAGTAAAACGCGCTATCGCCAAAGAAAAGTTAAAAGTGAAACAGGAAAAGATTTCTGTGGGTCCGACACGAAAATCAACTCGGGTTAATGCAAAATCCACATCACCGACTACAAAACAAACTGCAAAGAAGAAGTCGGGCACTACCAAAAAAAGAAAGGCTAATGATGCCGATTATAACATTGCGGATTACGTGGAAAACAATGTAAACCTTGAAATTTTGAAGTTTTTAAATTAGATCAAAGGTAGTTGAAAGAACCTTTAATGATTAAAATTTTTTCAAATTATTTAGGAACTTTCTAAACGTCGAAAAAGTTCAGAATCACAGTCAACGCCTGTAAAATCTTCTAATATAGAAGAACCTGTTGAAAACGAGGAAGAGATTTCTTCTACTGACATTAAACCAGATGATGAAATCAAAAAGTTTGACATACCCGCTCGTCAACCAAGGTTAGTTACGGGTGGCGTCCTTCGTGATTATCAGTTAATCGGTGTCGAATGGCTAGTTAGTTTATATGACAATGGATTAAATGGTATTTTAGCTGATGAAATGGGTTTGGGAAAGGTTAGTAATTATCAAAATATTCTTAAAATTTTATTAAAACGTTAAACTCGAGTTAATCTTTTTTTTATTATCATTAAACACTCATATATCATCTCGTAGACATTACAAACCATTGCTTTCTTTGCATATCTCTGGGAACGCCAAATTTTTGGTCCATTTTTGATTGTTGCACCACTTTCGACATTGGCCAATTGGGTCAGCGAATTTCATAGGCAATTATTTATAATTTTATATTATCCAAGTAAGATATTTTTATTGCAACAATTTCGTTAATTGATTGATTTCTACATAATTAGGTTTACTCCTACATTACCTGTTGTATTATATCATGGAACGCCGGAACAGCGATCGCATATTAGAACGCGAAGACTAAAAAAGTTGGATCACACGTTTCCCGTTATAGTTACAAGTTATGAAATTGTGATGAATGATCGCAAATACCTTCAGGTTATTATGATCTTCATAATAAATTTTCCTCGTTCAAATATTAAAATGTTACTAACTAAAGACCAAAAAAAAAATTATGTCGAATGCAGAAATTCTCGTGGAAGTATATTGTAGTGGACGAAGGTCATCGTATTAAAAATCTTAACTGCAAATTGATTCGGGAATTGAAGAGTTATCATTCTGCAAATCGTTTACTTTTGACTGGAACTCCACTACAAGTATGTATTTTTTGGTGGAGTTTTATTTTATTTTTAATTCTTTATTTTATTTAAAGAAGGGATCTTTAAACACATCTTTATTATTCAGAATAACTTGGCAGAATTATGGAGTCTTTTGAACTTTCTTTTGCCTGATATTTTTGATGATCTTGATAGTTTTCAGGACTGGTAATTAATACACTGTTATTGTAACGGGTGAAAATTATAATGTCGGTTATTGAAAATTACGAATATGATTATTACAGGTTTGATTTCTCCGCGCTTCACGAACAAGATGGTGAATCGCGTATCCTTGCTAGGGAGCAGTCAACTGAAGTTATCACTAATTTACACAAAATTTTAAAACCATTTTTGTTGCGTCGTATAAAGAGTGATGGTAAATATGCCTTTATATGTTCAGCTCCTTAATAGACTAAAAGAGTTTCAAACCATCAGACTAAAAAAAAAAATTTTTATACATAGTGGAAAATTCTCTTCCCAAGAAGAAAGAATACCTTTTATATGCTCCTTTATCAAGACAACAAAAAGAAATATACGATGCTATCGTGGCTCGAAACATTCGCCCATTCTTATTAGCCAAGAAGGTGGAAGAGGTTGAAAACGAAATGGGAATTACAGGACATGATAGTGGTAAGTTTTGAATATGTTATAATTTAATTGATCCGATGCATTCTCATAATTATTCGTATATCTAGGAAGTGAGTCAACGATAGACTCATCCGAAGACGAAGAGGATTCGGATTCTAATTCGTTTCGAAAACGTAAGAAAAGACTTCGCGGAAGGACGCATTTATCTTATAAAGAAATTACTGATGACGAATATTTCGAGTCTCTGGAAGAAAAGAAGGAGTCCTCCCCTAAAATGGATGAGGAGGAAGCAGCGAAAATGGCTGCTAATGCCGAAAAGAAATCAAAGACCATGAAAGCCGGTAAGAAAACTTTTTGTTATTGGTTCTTCAAGTTTATGAAAATATTTATAGTTTAATTTCATTCGTTGCTTTATTTTAATTTAGTCAAAACTATCAATGGAATGAAACTACAAAACGTTGTGATGCAATTACGCAAAATCTGTAATCATCCATACCTTTTCGACTGGCCTATTGATCCAGAAACGGAACAATATTTAATTTCCGAGGAATTGATAGCCAGCTCCGGAAAAATGATGCTTTTGGAAAAATTGCTCCATGAGCTATTTGAACGCGATCATAAAGTATTAATATTTTCCCAATTTACAACAATGCTTGATATCATTGAAGACTGGGCTACTACTTTCAAGAATTGGGAAATTTGCAGAATTGATGGTGGTGTAAGCCAAGAAACTAGGCGACAACAGGTATTAATTTTACCGATAATGAAAAGAATTGAAACTTATCAAAAGTTATTAATTTTTTTTTTTTTGCTTTTTCATATTTAGATTCAAGATTTCAATACGAACCCAAATATCAGACTATTCATTTTATCCACGCGAGCTGGTGGTTTAGGCATTAACTTGACCGCAGCGGATACAGTCATCATATATGATAGTGACTGGGTAAATCATTAGCATTTAATCTCGAATCAAAATTTGTTTTTTTATTTTTTTTTTAATATATATATATATGTGTATATAGAATCCTCAAATGGATTTACAAGCGCAAGACCGTGTTCATCGTATCGGCCAAACAAAACCAGTTATAATTTATAGATTGGTTACCGCAAATACGGTTGAAACTAAGATCATAGAAAAGGCTTCTGCAAAACGAAAGTTGGAAAAACTTGTTATCCACAAAGGAAAATTCAAGCTTCCCACTTCAAGAGAAGTAACTGTTGCTAGTTTAAGGGAATTAGCGGAAACTCTTGCCGCAGAGGATAATGAAAAAGTACAATTAGCTGAACATGGCGATAAAATAATTCCGGAAGCAGATTTAATTCGTCTTATGGATCGTAGTGAAGAAGCGTTCGCGAAGATTGGCACCTCTGAAATTTGTGAAGAAAGGGGTGAAATTTTCAAGGTTATTTCTGAAGTAAGGGATGATGATAATGATTTGTTGGCAAAAATGAGTAAAGATGACGAAAATATGGAAGAAGATAAATAATTACATCTTTTGATAACATTAATAATTTTAATAATAATAAAAAATAATTAATCTTTTTTCACTTAATAAACCAATTTAATGATATTATAAGCAAATATTACTTACAGTCGCTATTAAATAAATAAACAAATAATATATTCAAAGTCAATAATAATAATATTATTAAATGTCGAGAGAACTGTAAGGTCAAAAATCATTTGAAATAAATCAATTTCACCCAACTTGTTCCTCTTTTTGCTATATGTTCACTATAAAAAGCCAATGATCTCGATGAGAGTAATAAACTAAAATCAAAGCCATCCTTAAAGAACAATCAATGACGATAAAGAATTTTTGTAATTGTTATAATTCCAAATTTGTTCTAATGGGGAGATGAACTAAAATTATGGGATATTAAAGAAATGAATGATTAGACCCAGCCAATCAAAATCAATTTTAAATTTTAAATTATACTAAATTTAGTTTGATCGAATTATTAATTATTTTAATTATTTTAAATTTAAGATTTAAAAATATATAATAATATTACTTTGTTATTTTAATATGTTATAAAAATAAATATTAACAAATATATAAATAAATTTTATATTGCTAAACTTAAATAATTATATAAAATTTTTAAATATGATTTTACTATAATAAATATAATCTGATTATAATTTTATCTTTTTTATTTATTATATAAGGATGTTTTCAGTAAAATCAAGTCATAAAATATAATAAATCATATAATCCATAATATAATTTTACTGCCAACACTTTCATATAATTTATATTAAGATAATTTAATTGTATTAATTATTTACAAGTATTTTTTATAGAATATTCTTTTTTTATTGTTTCTTTTGTAATAGTATAGTTTTATGTATAATAATACAAATTATCTATGTTAGAATTCTTATTACTATAGATTTTATCATTTTTATGTTTTTATAATTGCTATAAACTTTTAAAAAATATAAGCTTTTTTTAATCATATATAGTTTATAGACCATCACAGTTAGTGATTAAATGTAAAAATTTATTATGTAATTTTTGTAATATTTTCGAAGAAAATAAGTGTAAATTTAATTATCTATTAATTTCGGATATTTAAAATGGTTGAAATTGTCTTATTACTGAAGCCTGCAATATTTGTATGTTTAGCAATTTAGCAATTTCCACCACAAAATGAACGTTGAGTGGCACGGTTCTAGTCTGGTGTGATATGTGGCGCAGCTGTCAAATGTCTGTCTGACGGTACCACGATATGATCATGAAAATAAAAAAAAAAGAGATAATACTATTCAATCCTTTAAAAATTTGCCTTTTCTTTAAATTATGTTATCTTCAGCACTTCGTCGTACAGTTGGCTCAGCTAGGCTGTTGGTTGCTAAAAGCGTTTTTAGGCAACCAGTAGTTAGGTCTTTCTCTGTTCTTGGACCTCGTCTTGGAGGTGAGCGGAAATTTCAAATTTATACTGTTAGAGAATCCGATATTTTAATTAATTCGAAATTTTGATTTAGAATTGAATAGTAGCATGATTGGACCCGGTGCAAAGCCTGGTACCATTCCCGATGATATTGAACAAGCTACCGGTATAGAACGTGCTGAATTGCTTGCTAAGTTAGAAGGCAAGGAACTCTTTGATATTGACGGTTTGAAAATTACTGCTATTGGTACGAAAAAGAGTCCTATTATGGTAAAGAGTGTGGATACTATACGTTATGTTGGCTGCTCTGGTATGTTATGTCATATTCATTTCGAATTTTTTAATTATATAATTTATTAAAACATTTAAAAAAATGATTATTCAATAGGTTTCCCCGTTGATTCTCATGAAACAATTTGGTTATGTGTCGATAAAAATCATGAATTTGACAGGTGCCCTGAATGCGGTCAAGTCTTCAAACTTGATTTCGTTGGCAGTGAAGACAAAGGTCATGGACACCATCATTAATTGGATAGATGAACCTGGCCTGGAACGTATTTAGTGTGAGAATTTGCTTATATTAAGCGAAAACATCTATTGAAGAAATAATATTTCTATTTAACTAAATTCGTGTTTAATTGGCTTTTCTTTCACAACAATTAATTATTTCCCTTTTTTTTCATTCATCGCCCATTTATTTATTCTTTTAAAATACCGACCTTTTTTTTTTTTGAAACATACCTTTTTAAACATACAAAAACAATACATACCTTAAAATGACTAATTTTATTACTTTCGAATTAATCAAAGGAAAATTTTTATTAAAAACATCACTGATTTTCTGTGATTTCTATGTGCTCAATTTTTACTCATTTTCTTCATCGTCATCGTCATTCTCTTCTGTTTCTTCAACCTGTTCCTCTTCTTCGCTATCTACATCAGTAAATTCTATCCTGATGATTCCATTCCAGACTACATAAATGACCATAAATAAAACTGCTCCAGTAATAGATATCAATCTTTTTCTCTCAAAATCCTTTTCAGCTTGAGATTTTTCTGGCATTTTTTCTACGTTCCTAGTTCTCCAGAACGTGTTGTTAAACCATGTGCGTGGAGAACTGAATATTCCTGTGAAGACAGATGGAAGGTCATTTGCCGGCAATTTTACGATCTCACTTTCAGAAAGTCGATTTTTCATGAGCTCACAAAACCTTGCAAGCCGAGGATATTCTGTATTGAGAATAATAGCTAAATTTGGATTTGGTAGATCCGAATATAGATGAACTGCTAGATGTCCATATATCATTATGTCAAGTGTGGAAAGTCTATTTATTGCGTATATTATTAATAAATTGTATAAATGTTACTCAGAAAAATAAGAATAATAACTTACTTATTTCCAAGGAAAAACTCCTCATTTCCGATTTTATTCAACAATACATCATAAGATTTCCTTATAATTTTATACATCTATATAAAATTATGATAAATCAGCTTCATCAGTTATAAAATGTTGTAAAAAAAAAAAAAAATCAAACCTCTAGGTCCTTGTCCACAAGAAAATCTCGATCTCCAACAGAGACAATACCATATTTTTCTAATCTTGATTTAGCAATCTCCCGCATTTGACCAGGTATGAAATAATTAATCGGAAAGGCGAGGAGTCTTCCATAAAGAGGACGGATTGCTTGTATAAAATTTTTCGTGTCCGCGAACCATAAATATAGCTAAAGTAAATAAATAAACCTTTAAAGTAAATAATATTAATAGCAACCATTTTGAATTAAAATGGGGTAACTAAACTTACCAAAGAATCGTAAATTTCGTTTTCAACAAAGGAAGAGTATCTATATAAGAAACAAATGAAATTCGGTAAATATATCAGTAAGAAATATAAATAATAATAATTAGATACTTGCGCCAAGCTATCAGCTCTTTGTCTGCTAGTCAAATGTTCGTCAGCGTCGAATCTCTTTCTTTTCATATATTTAATAATATTATTTATACCTGTAACCCATTCTACTCCGTCTTTCAAAACTGGTAATTCACCTTCAGAAATTGAGAGTCACTTTTGATAAGCTAATACTTTACAACGTACTATAGAAACTAAAAAAAAACCAAACCGCTTAGTACCCGTCCAAGATAAGTTTGGGTTGTTACATTCAATGATACACCATTCTTCTGTGACAAAAAGTTGAAAATAAGAAATAACTGTCAAACAACCTGGATCAATTGAAGGTAGATCAAAACCTGAACCCCATACATAAAGAGTAAACATTTTTGAGAAATCGAAAAATGAATGAAAATAAAAAGAGAAAATATAAATATTTTTTTTAGAATTCAGATTAATCGATAATCTAATAAAATTTTTAATAGCGCAGTTAGCGGATTGCCGATCATTTGGAGCAATTGTAATATAATTCGCTAATAATGAAAATCAACACGATTAGTTTCATCATCAAAAATTTTATAGTTTTCCCACTTTTCAACCTTTTACTTTTTCGTCATGACTAAGTTTCAACGCTCAAGACTTTTTTGTCAATTGTACTCGGAGGCCCTTCAACGCCAAGTCACTTTCTCCTTGCTGTTGCTTACGAGGTACCATGTGGAAATACTTGCATTGTTAGAAGCTTTGGAACGACTGTCCTCTCTTCCAAGGAATTAATTACTGGTATGGTAAGTACTTCTCCCGCAAAAAGTATGAATACTCTGCAAGAATATAAGGACCAAAATCAAGCTCTGGCTCGTCGTTTAGAAGAGGTCCAAATGTCATGATACGCAGAGAAGTTAACAATTTCATTGTTTATTCGTCGCATTCTTCTCATTATACTCCTTACTAACTTATTTTGATGCACGGGGCAACGTACGCTTCGGCTAACCATAGTTTACTAAATGTTGTTAATTTTAATTTCACATTGACGTCATGAGTTTTTATCTTCTCCATCTGTATTTTCTTTTTTCTTTTTCTTCTTTTGCTATTATTATTATTGTAATTGCTGTATATGATAAGGGTGAACGCAAATAATTAAATTGCAAACCAAATATACTAAAAATTTTGCGAAACTGTTCCTATTTGGATTTCCTGGTGGTGATGGTTCGAATGGCCAATATGTGCTAATAATAATAAATCTAGGGCTTGAAAAATGTGTCTCGCTTATATAATGAAATCTCAAATCATTTTAATAATTCAACTTCAAAATATTCATTTTAAATTGACCAGCTTCAACATCCAAATCGTTTTTTTAAATTTTTTTTTTTATTTCGCGAAATTACATAAAAATAAAAAAAAAACAAATTCCTTAAAGTCGTTTTAAACAAATAATCCGGTAAAAAACTCATCAAAGTTCTCTATTTTCACTATTCCAGATAAATCGTCAGGATGATTATCAACTATTAAAATAATATTTAATAAATAAGATTAATTGTAAAATATTTTAAAATTTGAAGACTCTTACCTAATTTTTGTCTTTCGATATCTTTAGAATTACCTTCCCGTTTCTTATTACTTCTCTCTGAAATACTCTCACGTTTTTTCTTTTTGTCACTATTACTACTTTCATAAACTTCTCTTTTTCGCTTTTCATGTCTCGTTTCTTGTTCAATTTCTTTTTCTTCTAACTCAACTTCATCTTTCTCAGTTTTAATTTCTGGATGTTGTTTACTATAATTTAATTTATCAGAACATTTTGGACATAATCTAATTTTAACTAAAGCATTTTTCTTTTCTCCATCTTCCATATAAGCAAAATTAACTTCCCAAGATTTTAATTCACTTGTATTTGAACATTTTGTTGATGCACAAATGAATTGACCTTTTCCTGTTATAACTTCTTTTTCAATTCTCCATCTCAAAGCAATCTGTAAATTATATCGTATTATTTATTTCATAATAATTATCATTTTTTTGAAGATAAAAAGATCAAAATTTTTTTCTTATTTACCCTCCCTTCCTTATAATATTTTAATTCAGCAATACAATATTCCCTAAATAATTTATCATAATACTTTTTTGCAACACGTTGTTCCCAACTTAATTCTTCTTCTTCTTCTTCTTCCGTTCGAAGAAATCTTATTATTATTACTATATTAATTACAATTTTTATTTATTTTTTTTTTTAAAAAAAAAATAAATAATTTTAAATCGTTAACTTACTTATGATTTTCTTTTAAAATGTCAAATTCTGTCTTTGTCTCTACATTTGACGGTTGACTGTTATGTCCATAAAAATTAACATAATCCCTCATAAATAATTTATGTCGAGTATACTAAAAAAAAATATACACTAATGTTATTTAACAAATATTATAGGTAAAACTTCTATTAAAAACTTACCGCATCCAAACCTTGTAAATTATCACGGAATACCTTCTTGCTGTATTCAGACATTGCGAAATTAGTGGAATGAATGAATTTAATACAACTAATACATTGCTGATTATAAAATAAAGTCTAGCACTCACGTGATTTATAATTTGAAAATATGGAAGGTTTGCTAGGAAAATGGGGCTGAGAATTTTTTAATTTTTTATTGCATTTTAATTTTTGATAATGTAAGATTAAAATGCAATAAATATTAAAATTTTAATTTTAATTGTAAATTAACGTAGCTTTTTTACACAAATAAATTATTAAATAATTTTACGCAAACTTTGTGGTGAATATCTTGCAATGGAATATTATTTGTTCTTTTATCAGAGCCCTTTTTTTTTGATAAATTATCTTTATCAATCTTTACTTGTAGCTAATTGAAGTTTTGATAGTTTAGCAGAAATAGTGACACGTTTGCATGAGTTATATGTTGAAAAGTACCTTAACCTATTGTTTGTTGATTAATTATTTAAAATTAAACAGATTTATAAAATGCAAGACTATTCTACGTATATACAATACACTGAGAATAATTCTGTAAAGTACCTTTTGGTAGAGCTGCAGAGAATCATCCTTTGTTAAAAAATAGGCGCCTAAAATGTCAAAGTAGACAGTATATCAGGTCTTGTAAAAGAAGGAATTATTAATGTTAAAAGAGTTGAAAGTGATGTGGATTTTGAAGAATAGATGACCAAAGTTGGTAAAACAATTCTTACAAACAGAATTGATGATATATTAATATCAGAAGGACATGAACTTCTTAGGCAAATAAATGCTAAAGAGAAAAGAGATAGGTTATGTTGGTCTTGGATTATGTATTGTTCTAGATATGGAAATAGTTGTCAATTAATTGGTAAATGTAAGAAGATTGTAGAAATTCTGATTTTTCTAATGGACTTAAAAATTATCAAGATATGCATCTATGTCAAGTGAGAGTTAAAGTGGAATTTACCTTTTTTCTATAACTATTTCATATTCTTTATTAATAGAAGTACATAGAATTTATACTCCTTTAAATATAATAATTAATTCAACTCCAAAAGTTGAAAGGTTAAATTTATAAAAAGTATTAGAGATAATTTCTTTTAAATAAAAGAACTGATTACAAAAGTGCTAAAGGAATTAAATCAAAATTAATAATATCAATGAATAGTATTAATAAAGAAACTCTTTCTTAAGCATTAACTAATTATTTATACAGATAACAAATTAAAACAATTGGTTATCAGAAATGATAAAAGATTAAAAGATCATGTTAATTCTTAGACAATTTTACATAATCTAATAATTTAAAATTTAAAACCAAAGGTTATATATGATATTATTAATAATCAAACATATCTTTTCCAAAAGATTTATCTTAAAGATTTTATCAATTAATATTATCAGATGAATTTTAGTTAAAAAATGCATGAGATTATGGTCAAAATTGCATAAGAATCAATAGCAAATATGATTTGAATATTAATAATATTTCAGTTTTATCTATTGTAACAAAAAAACAATACTGGTTTTACTATACCAATTGCATTTAACAAGAAATTTACATTTTTAAACAATTTTTCAAAAGTTAAAATTATTTATCACATTTATATACAATTATATATATCACATTATTATATAATTTTGGCCTGACAAATAAGTTTTACCTTTGAAATTTTATATTATTATATTAAAAATTTAATAATTAAAATTATAAAATTAAACTTTTTATTAATTGATAATCTGATTAAAATGATTGATAAATTATAATAAAATTTAGTAGATATTTATTAAATAAAAATTGCATTTCTGAATGTTAAGTTATTCATAATAATTGCAATGTTTAAAAGATGTTGCTTTACTTTAAACCTTTTAGAAATTGGGTATGTTGCTCAAAAATTATATTATAGCATTTTTACACAAAATTGATAGGAATCTGTTTCATTAGAATTAGAAAATAAACCCCAAATTTTAACTGTATCCTTTCATTATATATGTGTATTAATTACAACTAAAGATGAGAACTGTAATTAATATGTTGCAACTTTTAATGTTGCAACTTATGTTGCAATTAGTTTTAACCTA